AGCAGTGAGTGAATAGCCAAATTCGGCTCGGCTATTCTGCTCGGTACCTCTGTGGTCCCGAGCAGAATAGAAAAACAGTGTAAAAAAGTAGGAAAAAAAATAGAAAACGGTTAGCAGAGTCAGAGGAGATATGAAAGCCTTTAATGGCATATGCCTGGACAATAACTTGTCTAATCCAACGAGCAATGGTAAATGTAGAAGCTGCTTCTCTTTTCCAGAGAGTCCATCTAATGGAAAAATTCAGTAAAAGACAAATAAACTTGCACCGCTCTAACCACGCTTGGTAAATCGCTATTTCTTTACATTGCATTGGGCCTGAACAAAATGAAGGAGAAATCATATTTTCATCAAGGTGGAAGGCAGACATCACCTAAGGAAGAAAAGAAGGTTGTGGACAAAGAACCACCTTATCTTTATATAAAACCAAAAAAAGGGGGTTTACAACATAAGGCAGCCAATTCCAAAACTCTCTGAGACAATGTAATTGCCACCAAAAAGGCCTCCTTTTGCAATAAACAAAATATCTCAAATACTCTCAAAAGGAAGCTTTTTTCAAGAGCAAAACAAATGTAAGTCCTACAGAAGAAAATGAGACTTGACTGAAGGAGAAACATGTGAGACACCTTGAATGAAGGTAAGAATCAAGAAACGCAAGGCTGACCTATGTTGTTTCAGAGGCTGAAATTTGACTAGCTGGAAGCACTTTTGTAGCTCCGTACGACGTACGTCCTTGGCAGCGAAAGGGTTAATAGTACTCAGAGCCAGCTTTTGTTCTACACCACATGGAGAGACACTAAGCCCTTCACACCAGGAACTATATGCTTTCTAAGTCCTCTAATATATTTTTTGGGAAGTAGATTTTCATGGTTTAAATATCATGGGGATCACAGATTCAGGCAATCCCTTGTCTCACCGCACCTAGCTTTCAATAGCCATATTGTTAAAGCCAATGACTGTAAAAGCAGGATGAAAGATTGGACCTTGAGATAGAAAGCCCAAACGAAGAGGAAGTCACAAGGGAACATCTGCTACTAGCCTTACCATGTCTCCGTACCAACAGTGATAGGGTCAGTTGGGATCCACCAGAATAACTGTTATCCCTATGAGTTCTAGCCGATACAGTATTCACAGTAGAAGTTTCAAAGAAGGAAAATCATAGATGAGATTGTACCTGTGCCAGGACACCACCAAGACATCCGTTGCATCCACCCAGGGATCTTTCATCATACACACGAAGTTCTGCACTTTTCAATTGGGGGGCCAGAAGGTCCATGCCTGGAGTTCCCCATCTCTGACAAATCTGATGAAAGACCTCTGGAAGAAAAGCCAATACGCCTTGATCCAGGCAATGTCAACTTGAGTAATCTGCCTGCCAATTATCTATCCCCAGAATGAAGACCACAGACAGAGTTGGCACAGAGGTCTCTGCCCAATGAAGTATGTGAGACACCTCCCTCGATGCAGCCAGACTTCTCATACCACCCTGATGGTTGACATATGTCACAGCAGTGGCACTGTCTGATTGAATCCTGACAGGGTGGCTCACAGTAGATTTATCTAATGTAAGGGATGACTGCATGCAACTCCAGTACATTGATTGATAACCTGGCCTCCTCCCTTGACCAGCGCCCCTGCGCTGACAACTGACTGGTCATTCTGCCCCAGCCACTTGCTGGCATCTGTTGTCACAATCTTTCAATGAATTGGAAGGAGTGACTTTCCATTTATCAGTGCAGGGGGACTGAGCCACCAACACAAGGAGACCTTGACCGCCGGTTCAAGGAAGCAACCATCAGACCAATGACTCTCATACAAATGCGAATTGTCACCCATTTAAGAGAAAGCAATGCGCAAATTTAGGTCTGGAGTCCCTGAATCCTTTCTAGAGGAGGAAATACTTTGGCCTGATACTGTACGTGTCCAAGATCAGTCTCAGGTATTCCAGGCAATGGAATCAATGACAAATTCCCGAGACTCAGAATCCAACTTAACTCCTCCAGATTACGCATGGTGATCTGAAGATTAATTTCCAGATCCGACTGAGAATCAACCCAAAGATAGAGGTTGTCCAAGTAAGCCCCCACAGAGACCCCCCTGTGTCAACAAGGCAAGGACTATGCCAAAACTTTGGTGAATACCCATGGGGCTGAGGCAAGGCCAAACAGGAAGGCCAGAAACTGAAAATGGTCTTCCTCACCACAAAGCATAGGAAACGGTGATGAGCCTGACAAATTGGAACATGGAGAAAGGCATTTTTCATGTTTATGGATACCAGGAAATTCCCCTGATGAAGAGAGGAAATCACTGAATGGATAGACTCCATTTGGTGGACCTTGACAAAAGCAGAGCTTCCACTCATTCACTAAGTTAATTGAAAATTCCCTTGCAAAGTGAACAGCCTATTTGGCGAAATTCGAAAATTAACTCCTTAATTCAGCATTTCTCAATCTTTTTACCACTGAATAATCCTTGAAATAATTTCAAGGTAAATTAGTGTGATCAGTAAGTTGCAGAAACTTTTAAAGAAAACAATGAATAATGCATACATGCATTATCTGTATATGTTAGCAGAAACACCCCCCTCCCCCTTCCCCAACATGTACAGAAAAACTGGAACCTGATAAATTCCAGAGTAGTGTGTCATGAGTTTCAACAACTGTCTGCCCGTGGATAAGGAAGGTAAAAAAAGAAAGATATATAACACTTAGAAATGCACTAATGAAGGCTAAACTGTTTGTGACCATATTCCATTTCATATATTCTTTTTAAATGCCTGCACAAAGCCTTAATTTGGGAAATGGAATATTTGTTCCTATAATCTTGGTATCACAACTACATCATTAAGTGCAACATATTATGACCTCATTGCCTAGCCATGGCGATATCACTAAACATACACACTGAAAGCCACCAACCCATAGTTTAGATCAGAAAGATTATGGTGGACCCACCACGTATCACTGTAAACTTCTGCAAGCATGTTAACTATAGACCTTTAGGCACTGCCTGTGAAAAATAATAAGGCTCTCAGGTTTGCTCATATCCTGATTGGGCTTAAGTGCAGAAACACCCATGGGACCACCATATTTCTACCTCTTCATGTCCTGTAACCAATTACACTTCAATGCACTTCTGCCAAAATAAGGCCATTTAAATATAGTAATTAGTAAACAGACCACAACATGTTTTTAACCTTTTATTAAAAACACTCAGGTAGAAAAAAAAAGACATTTTTTCAAGACTCTCAGTGATTTTCATGCACACATAATTTTGCATAAAGGCAGGCACCGCGCAAGGTTTGCATGGAGTGATGGGTGGAGGGGAATTTTTTGACTCTCATAACAGACACATTGCAAACTGATCATGGGAGGGGCAAATTGTGGGAACAGACACCAACCAGAAATTTAAAAACACTTGGTTTTCTTTGTAAACAAAATCTGCTTTGTAGCATTAGATTTTTTTCATGACTGTATATGGGGTACATTATACTACAAAGGCACACATTTAAAGCAGTATATCTGTGATTCCCCTGAAAGAGTCCAAATGCATGTGCAACAGTAATATTATTCTTGTTAGGGAAAATGTCTGTATTTGCTTGCTGAGGGGAATTACTTGGGACCTGACTGTTGAAAGAAATCAGCTTTTGGCACAAAATAATCGACAGGAAAATGTGCAAAGTCACTTAAATTACAGAAGAAATAGCAAGTCCTGTATTCTACCGAGCATATCTCCTGAATAATTCTGTTCATGTATTCATTACCCTGCCAAGAGATAACTTGGCCCCTTCCAAAATATGAAAAAGTTACAATTTCACAAGCATTCGGTCTCTTTATATGAACATTTTATGTAATATGGTCCTAATTGGTCCCTGGTGATAAAAGAGAGTATCAGATGTAGTATTTCTCTCTTTAGAGCATAAGTTAATCACATGCTGTTTCCTTTCTACTGGTCAAAACCACCTAAATTTGAGTCTTTTATTTTTTTATTTCTTGAACACATTTCTTTTATTTCACATCACAAACTGTATAAATCAATTTTCAAAGTGTCATAAAATTTGTAATTTCCTATAAAATTATCTGAAGTTAGACATATATACTCTTGAATAAATTCTCTTTCTGTTCAAGGGAAATAGGAAAAAAAGACATAAACCAAAGGACTAAAGAAAAGGGAAACAATAAATCAGAAAAAAAAACACTAGACACATTAAATGGTTACAAATATGGGGTTAAAGTGTAATTATTTTATGTCAGTCTTGTTTGGTTATTCATTTTTATGTGGCAACTTAAAATTAGGTAATTCTGATAGTTGACAGACCATGTTGTATTAAAAACACATTATATCATGCTGAAGGTGTATGTGTGCCCATATGTTATGACAATATGGAACTGTGTTTTATAATGGAAGTAAAAAATAATAATCAACTGAATCAAGGCATGAAAATTTTGTGAAAGAGCACAAGCAGATCCAGGCAATAATTGTTTTATATCAAAAGGGACAATTAATGGCAATGTATTAAATGTATTTTGCAACAATGTATAAATAATGTAATTTGAACATGGGGTACAGTTTTTCAAAGCACAAGACTTATTTAAAATAACATTTTTTTTTAAACAATCAGGGCACAACAATAAAATTTTAGAATTAAACAGCACAACAGGGAACATCAAAATAACTTGTCCTGACTTTAGCAGTAAGTAATAACTAAAACTGAAATGCAATAAGGTTGACACACCTTGAAAAAAATTGGGTGTGCCTGAGGAATAAAAATGTAATTGGAAAAAAATCATGTATACAAAAAAACAATTTAAAAATCAAAATAACAAAAGATTTGCAAATTCGAGCTGGACAACTGTAACAAGTTATAATGTGTTTCCTGAACCTTTGTGGGAATTTCGTGTGCCTAGGTGTGTGGCTTGCCTGCCATCTTTTTTTCTCCCGTCTGCGCCAGACGCGCTTCTCCGCCCCATGACGGGTTAACTAGTCGTCCTGACTGATCCCGGTTTTCGGTAGGGAGCAGCATCTGGTGTGACCATTTGTATGGCCCCTCCCAATGTTCAACGGCATTTTCAAACAGTGCTGCCTATATAGCGTGGTTACTGTAACTGACATATGTTGGTTTACTGGCCAGAGCTAGAAGAGAAATGCACAGTTTTAAGTTATGTTGTAGACATTAAATTTACAATTCATCCATACAAATTATTGTACATGACATTAACCTCTAATGTCTTTACGGGTTGTATCATTTCAAAATTGCATCAATTTAAAAGCGAGTATGGGCACATATAGCCTCAGTGAATATTCATTTTGCAATGTGAAAGTTCACTTGGCTTGATACATCAGTTGACTCTAGATTTACTTCAATAATTCCTGCTTTTGCTAAGTTTTATTGCACGTGATTGGGCATTAAAAGTGAACACAGCTTATATACCAAACTCAGGGTGATAAAAAAAAAACAAGGAAAGTGACATTTACCAAACATTCACTGCAGGTAAATCAATCACTATAATGTTGAACACATGCTCCAGCTGTGAGTGCTTGGTAAATGTCAAATTCACTGTGCCAAACCCCCCCCCCCCCCCAATGCTGCTTTAAGGACTTACCTTAAATGATACCTCTAGATCCGATCATCTTCTTCTTTCCAGTAGTTTTCAGGAGTCCCTCTAAGGCTAGTCTGGAATGTGACCTTTGGGCACTAGGCTCAGCATTGTGGTGCTTTCCAGACTCTGACCGTACTGAATGGAGCACTCTCCAGGTCCACAGCCATGGCACTGCCACATTCTTAATGACGAGGGACTGAGCGCTGAGGTGGCTGGAGTGTTGCAGGTGCTCCATTCTCTCTTTTCCACTATTATGCATAATGGAAGCACCATCCTGCTACTGCTGCTCTGGCTCTTGCTTGTAAGCACCTTGTGGAACTCCAGTCTCTGGCCTTTTACCACTGCCTGCCTACAGTGTCCTTGTCACCTCTGGCCACCTGACCCTCATCAGCACCAGCTGCCTGGGTTTGAGAGTAATTGAGGACTTGCCTTGCACATTGTGCCTATTTGCATTACCACTAGGTGGCACAACATGTCTGCAAATAGACACAGAGAAAGACTCTCTGCTAGGGGTTACTCCAGTCCATACTTCCCTAGTGGTTTTGGGGGAATCTACCTGCTAACCCTTGAGGGAACCACAACCTGCAATCTAGAACCTGGTACCCCTACAGTTGAGGTCCACAAAATCTAAATAATTCTCCTCCTTTAGTCAACAGTATAACCTCACAGTATCTGAATTCTTGTGCCAGTCAATGGACTATAAGAAAATTATTTTACAGAAAGTATCTAATGAATCTAAAACAATAGTTGTACATTGTGATCCTTTAAATATTACCACTCGCCACCCGAGCAGAATCGCAAAGTCTTATATTGTTGGGTGCCGCACAGCTTTTATATCAAAAGTCTCCTGGTTGGCTCTGGTACTTCAACCTTGGAGAGTTTTCATTTATTCCTATGGAAAGGTGTCCATGGAGAGTCTTTCACGTATACATAGAGGAAGTAGAGCCTGACCAGGAGACTCTGGGTGAAGTGCATGTGCAACTCCCAGCAGCCCTACAGCAAAGATACCAGAGGAGCAGGGACAAGTAAGTACTAAACTAAAAGGAGCTGCTGGAGGAAGGTGGGGGAGTTAAATTATAACTGTACTAAAATTACAGGTATCCCTAAAGCTGTCTTCAAACCTATATGTCTGCATTTTCCTGCGTTTATCCCAGCTTTATGCAGGCGCATTCTCATGTGTTGACCTGCGCTGTCATTCCCATAGAATGCACCTTTATTGCACATCAACAGATCAAAATATGTACAGTACATGAACCATTGCAACTTACGCAAGTTAACACACTGCACCCCCAACACTATTAAAAACAATGGCAATACAGTGTACATGCATTAGAAGGCATAGGTGTTAATGGGCCCTTAAGTTTTAATTTGCAGTTTTCAGTGTTATTTTAGCATCTAAAATAATAAGCTTACATGGATTTTGCAACAAAGACAAAATGAGAATGAAAGCCCTAGAATAATAAAGCTAGGATACTTGGCTTTCCATTGTAATAAAAGACAATACATTCTGTACTAAAGAATGACTATTATATGAAGTTTGGCTAGACATGATTATTGTTGGTAACAAGTGTATAAGAATAAACTTGAGCACAGAATCCATACATAAACACAGTGGCAGATTGTTTGCCTAAAACTTTTTTTCATCTTAACTATATTATATGCTGTAATAATGTGTTATATTAGTTCTGATTTTATCATTAAGGACTCAGGTAATTGGGTCATGAAACTCATTATGGGTAGCCTGCATTGTTAATATTAAGTGATTTATGTCCTGCTGGGCATCGAGCGGGTATACTATACTTCTATTACTAAACAGGGGCAAACTTCTGTTTGTTTTGCTAAGCAGTTTTTGATGCTGGATTCTCATAGAGTCACAGAACAAGTCTTTAGCTAATGATAAAGTAGATACAAAAAGGTAATGTAAAATGTGTATTGCTTCGGTGAGTGTTATTTGGTTTATTTTCTATTCTGCTATAATATCATGTTAAAAGATCTGTTTCTCAAGAATACATTTTAATTTAAGCCACACATTGGTTCTAATAATAAAACATTTACAAGCCACAAGACCAATGCTAGTCAAATTACTCAACAAACCAAGGTTAGTCAAGTTACTCATTACTCCAAAATTACTAGACATTGTGTTATCTATTCTAGGCTTATAAATTCCAGTGGGAAGTTATTGGGACATTTAGCTTAAATCAAACTTTTCTGTTTAATTGGTGATTATGCTGAGAAAAATCTAGCCATTGCAGAGCCAACCATTTGGGATTGCGAACCTATTTCGCAGTAAATATTGATTATTGACCAGTCAATTTAATAAGGGTATTGGACAACTTACAGACTGGGGCAGAATTACTACTAGACAGGCACAAACAAACAAATCCTATGCTCACAGGATTTATTTGTCAGCGATATGCGCACAGGCTACAGCAAATATACGTAGACTTTTTTTAAAAGGGTGGTTTACTTCAAAATTGTACACACCAGCATTTGAAAATATGGCACCTAAGCCATAGTATACAAAAAAAAAACATCTTAGGATATTAACACATAATCACATAATATATCAGGATTAAACCACATCAAATGCAAATGGATATCATTAAAAGAGACTTCGTTTTTTAACTTAATCATGGGCTTAGTGTTA